TCTCCATACCATTTAATAGAAAAATAACAAATAATATAGAAGTCAATTTCTCTTATAAAATTATTTATCAATAAATTTATGCATGAAATATTTTTAAACTCGATTAACCTAAGTTGTACTTAATAAAAAAAATTCACATTTTATTAATTTCGTCCGGTCCTAACAAAAGTTGTATCAATTTTTAAAAAAATAATTAACATATAAAAATATATATAATTTTATGTAATATATTTAAAGTTCCTCAAAACTATTTTATATTTTAAAATATAAATAATAAAATATAAATAAAAAGTATTTTTTAGTTTTTTTAAGTAATAAGTATTTTATTTTCTTATACATAACTACCAACTAAACAATTCAAAAAAATAATAAATTAATAAATAAAAAATATACTATTTCATGTAATCTATTAAGAGTTCCTAAGAAAAAAAAAATTAAAACATAATTAAAAATAAAAAATAATTTAAAATATTGATTAACAAATCAAACAAATATTAGTCGAAATAATTCTAAAATTAAAAACTCGCTTCTAAATGTTCAAGCAGGCAACACATATACTTTGAAATATTGTTTATTCATAAAATTAAAAACTCACATATATTTTGAAAAGTTGAAAATTTTTGGCGAACGTAACGCGGGTGGGAGATTTTTCTACAACTTTGGACTTCTATGGCGCACCAAACCTCACACCAACCGCACTCCTCAGCCTCATCCCCAATTACAAATCACATACTTGCATAATTTAAAGGATAATATAAGAAATGAAAGCAATCGATGGATTGCCAGTCTTTCTCAATTTTTTCCGCTCCACCAACTCCCTACTCTTCTCTGTTCCCACTTTCCACTATTAAATTCTCTCTTCTCCTATTCTTTTCTCACACCTTCCCTTCGCCTTGACTTCTCATCTTCTTCCCAACTTAATTTCCCCCCTCTCGTCGGAAACCATGGGCAGTGTGCCGTCGGAGAAGACCGCCACCGGCTACGCCGCTCATGATTCCTCTGGCTTTCTCGCCCCTTATACATATAATCTAAGGTATACTTTATTTTAACTAACTTTCAAAGCTCTCAATAAATACTGATGACCTTACACAACGATTTTTTTATTTTATTTTTTGCAGGCAAACTGGGCCGGAGGATGTTCAGATAAAGGTGCTGTATTGCGGCATCTGCCACACAGATTTACATCAGACCAAAAATCACCTTGGCATGTCCAAATACCCAATGGTCCCTGGGTAATCAATTATCAATTTTGAATGTCCTGC